AATTAGAGGAGTGGCAAGTAGAGTATGCGAGCTACAAGCAAAAACTAAAATGTGTACTACAGTGCGCAAAAATGAATTACTGGGTCATCAGGGGGACATGAGGGACATTTATAAAACTAAAAGTCCCACTAACCTTAAAGTGCACTTGAAAAGCCCACAGAAGAAGGTTAACCTAGCTTACCTAGAAGACCTCATCAGGGGGAGCACACTCCCCCTCCTTGAAGAGCTCACCCACTCAACCCGCATCCCAGAAAACAGCTAACCCCAGATAAGGCAGCGTGATGTATCCCGAGACAACAGGACTGGGACATCTAAATAAAGGTGTGAAACAATCGCCTTCAAAAGATTATCAATTCACTTGAACCAAAATTAGGACCACTCGGTGCGGCAAGAGTTAATAGTTATTAGTCTCAACACCCAAGGATAACCAGAAGAGCATGACTGATATGATGGAACTGGGATTTTGTTACACTTAATTTTTGCAAAACACAAATAAAACTAAATTGAAACTAAGGATTTTCAGAAAATAAAAACTACACTAAACTAGCAAAGAATTGGTAAAAAACTAATTAAAACTGATATAAAATTGAAAATCTGAAGTCGAAGCTAAATAAAAATAAAAACTGATGAAAATTGCAAAACTATTACAACCCTGGTGCAGAGATTGGGAAATCTGACCAGGAAACGTTATAAAATGGATTGTCAGGATAGTCAGCGTTAAAGCCACTTTTAACAGTCCATACTAGGATGGCATTGGACATCTTCGGGGCAGAAAAGGGTTGGTGTGACCAAGGTGTGGTTTGGCTTGTTGTATGTACATTTCAAAATGTTACAGCTCTGGATGGACCAGTTACCAGGGCATGGAAGGATGACAGACTTTATTACATGAGGAGAAGGGACATTTTCGGGATCGAAGATCCTCAGGGATGACAAGGCTGGAGCAACGGTACTCGAGAGAAGAATTTCTGATACTTTCTGAGATATGATGTCACTAACCTTCTCTTTTAATTGTCTAGCTCCAATGAATTGACACATGGGAGTGTGTCAAAAAAGGGGAAGTTGAGTCCGAACATCAAACAATGGTTTTATGAACATCTTATGACGTTATTTCTGTGTTTAATAATTTAGCTATGGGAAAACTTAAGCTTATAATGTGTTAGACTTAGAAAGGGTTCACTAATTTTTGATTTCTTTTACACACACATAGATTATGATTAGAATTAGAATAAGTCCTGAACATAATATTTTAAACCAAATTTGAATCATTAGAACAACAATATTAGATTATCAAGGCTAGGGAGAGAGGTGTTTTGGTTTTCTGTCTCTTGCAGAGAAAGGAACAGACACCAGACGGGGACACGGAGATGTGAGGACCCTTCACAGCAGAGACAGATGTAGGCACTGCCGAGACAGCAACTGGGGTCAAGTGTCATGACGTTTGGGCTCCTGGAGAAGATGGATCCCACAAACACAGCAATAACCATGAAGGGGTTGGCGAAAACCAGGAACACCAGACCAACGAGGTTCGAGAGGCTCTTGGCAAAAAGGGGGACACGCCGGTGAACCCAAAACACACAGATCCTTGTTTGAAATCGGGCAGAATAATCCCCAGAACTGTGCAATGACTAAAGGGTGGTCTAACCCCGGAGGTCGAAGAAAGAAGCTGAGAATCACCCAACTGGAAGACACTGGTAGCTGCAGCAATAAAAATAAAGGTTAAGAGCTCCTTAGACAGAGGTTCTAGTCTAAGTACATTTGAAAGGTATAAGGGGGCATTAAAATGGGAGTGGAAAACTGGAGCACCAAAATAAAGCTGTGGGAAAATGGGGAGTGATGGGAGTGTCATCTGTAACTGCTGTTATGGTTGTAAATCTAACTTTGCTTGCATCTGAACTGCGTGAACACAGAGGTCATCCCCCATATGGTCCACCCGTTAAAGGGGGACAGAGGGCCTCAGGATCAAGAAAACCTGGACCTTGCAACGCTGAAGTGCATGTTATTAGTGATCTCTTTAATGAGAGATCAAAAGAGGGTATTGTGATATTATTCTGTTATTATATGTTACCTTATATATGTAATCAAAGTAGTTGAATTAGAATACTGCTGTAGATCATATTATACCCTTTAAAATAGAGTGTGTGATCTGTATGTAGTTTAGTTCTCATTATACTTTTGAGTTAACAGAACATATTCACATATTAGTTCATTAGATAAATGTGCATCACTCTGTATCCTTGATCTGCTGGGAATGTGTTACACTGTTTTCTTGACATGCTTAATTGTTGAATCATGAAGAGAAGGTTGTAAGCAGGAGACTCTGTGTCTAAGACAGGGGAGATAGACAGACCACATTCCACACCCCCACCTTACAGAAAGCAGAGAAACAACTGCCGAGGTCATAACTTAGGCGCTGTAACAGAGAAAAAATGTGCTGTTTTGGCTTTTACGACTAGCTGGGGGCCACTAGAGACTATAAAAAGCTGAGCAACCCGTCACCATTTTGAGACATGTGCCTGACCCTCTGGTAGCATCTCTCCCGTCCGGACGTTGTAATGCTCTGACTGTTGAATTGTATGGAAATAAATGATTGTTGATTGAGCATTTATACACCGAGTATTGTCCCTCCTTCAGCCCAAAGATTCAAAGAACAGCGTGTTTTCAACAGCGTGTGTGTGTGTGTGTGTGTGTGTGTGTGGGGGGGGGATATGTATGTATTCACATCATTTATGTTAATGAGAGTGTGGGGAGTGAGTTGGAGGGTGGGGTGGGCTGCTTTTAACTATGTAAAGCACTTTGTGCTACTTTTTTTTTTTTTGTATGAAAAGTGCTTTATAAATAAAGATTGATTGATTGATTGATTGATTGATTGATTGATTGATTGATTGATTGATTGATTGATTGATAACTGTGTGACAGCTGAACAAAAAAATCATTGAAGTGAATCCAAAGAAAGAAAAACGGATTTATCAGCCACAAAGGGGGTGACTTTATATTTCAAGTTTACTGGCCTGCATTAAGAGCTATATGTGTACCTGAGTTTAAGAACATGCAGCTTCTGGTCTGAATGAAACCACTGCACCTGTATTTGGAAAAACCAGTCTGGGTTGTGCCTCTTATCTGGACCCCTCCCTGTCAATCTATGTCATCTGTCATCCACCTCTAGTTGGTTGGGGAGACACACCCAGACTGGCAGTATATGTATGCACTCTAACCTGGAACATACTGGCTCAGTTCCCTGAAGCTACTCCACCATCTGCCTACCTTTCTAGCTCCATTCAGAGTAAGGGTCTGCCACATTAATGCCACTCCTAACCAAATAACATTAAACATTTATAAGGGAACTTTTGTTCATATCTTCTCAAGAAGACATCGCAGATGAAGGTCAAATGTACCTGAATGAACTTGTCTATCGATCTCTCAGTCAGGATCACACACTTACTGTCACAATCCTGGGTCTTATGACCCAGCGGTCTCAGTTTCTTGTGTTTTGTCATTTTGTATTATGATTTGAGTCCACCTTGTTAGTTTAGTCCTGGTCCCGAGGTTGTCATGTTTGGCTTTTGGTTGTTAGATATCCCCATGTCTTTGCTCCTTATCTTCCTCTGTGTACCTGTGTTCATATATCTCTGAGTATTTTCAGTTCTGTGTCCTCCCTGTCTTTTTATGCGTAATTGTCCTCATCTGTGCTCCCTGTGTATTCCCATGTCCCTTATTACCTTCTGTGTATTTATGTGATAATCTCCCTCTGTTTCATGTCGCGTCATCCTTCAGTTTTGTGCGTATTTCCCTGTGATTTCCCTGTGCCTCCTGGTGAGTTAGTTTTAGTTCTCCCCAGTGTAGTTTTGTATCGCCCTTTGCCTTTCTGTTAATAAAGCTGTGTTTTGAGTTTATCTACACGTGTTGTGAGTCTTGCATTTGGGTCCTCACCTCCCTGCACACACCCAGTCCCTGAAACTAACATAACTCAGTTCATTTAAACATTTCACATTTTCACGTCCTTCAGTTTTTAATCGCTGCACTTACAGGATGTGAGCTGGACAACATTAATAATCTTAATGAGGTACATGTGACATTGGCGACACAGCTACTGAGATGAAGCTCATTTTGCAGCAGAGGTGGTTGTAGTTACAGTAGCTGTAGTTGGAGCAGCTGCGGTTGGAGCAGCTGTGTCTGAGAGCTGCATGAAGCTGTAGTGAAGAGAAACTGTTTGATCAACTGAGCTTTTGGTACCACATATACACTGCAGTCTAAAGTCTTAGACATATGAAGTTACATCATAATTTAATAGAACTTGTTACTTGTAAGCTGTCCATCACAGTGAAAGCAAGTGTGATGTTTTATAAGCCAGCGACATGAGATAACATCAGCATTCATATAAATATGTGCAGGTGAAGTAATGGTAGATATTGTCCTGGTTAAAGGTGTGTGCAGACACAGCTTGAATGCAAGTGTCTCTCTGCTTTTGTCCTCCTGAAACAGCCAACAACACTGACTGTTGCAGTGCTGTTTCACACATGCTCTGTGACATTTTTCTGCTGCTACATTTTACGCTGTGACTGTGAACAGGTTTGTAGAAAAAGTATTATTAAGAGAAACCATTCTCATCATAAAACAGTCAGGGGACACTCATTAATCAATCCAAAGAGACTTTATTTATGATAGTTTTGAAAAGTGCAATGATAAGATCAGTGTTGAGATTGTAGACATCACAATATTGTTAATATTAGTCCCCTGATCACACGCTTGGATGATACACATACAAACAACATCTCAGGGAGGAAAACATCAAACATGTCTGATCTGAACCCCCCCCCTAAAACTACAATAAATAAGAATTCAAATATGCTTTACAACCTGGTTACTTAATAATTTCAAAACTTCACATGTACTTTGGTTTATTACTTCATTTTCAGGATGTGAACTTAAAAATGTTACAAATATGAGCTGAGTACATGTGACATCAGAACCAGAACTAATGTAAGGAAGCTGATGTTGTTCACCATGGCAGAGGAAGTGGTTCTTGCAGTAGTTCTGGTTGTTGTTGGGGTTGTTGTTGGGGTGGTTGCTGAGGTTGTTCTGGTGGTTGTACTTGTTGTTGGGGTAGTTGAGGTTGTTGTTGGGGTGGTTGCTGAGGTTGTTCTGGTGGTTGTAGTTGTTGGGGTAGTTGTGCTTGTTCTTTGGGTAGTTGCTGATGTTTTTGTAGTGGTTGTACTTGTTGTTGGGGTAGTTGAGGTTGTTGTTGGGGTCGTTGCTGATGTCGTTGTAGTTGTTGGGGTAGTTGTGCTTGTTGTTGGGGTAGTTGCTGAGGTTTTTGTAGTGGTTGTACTTGTTGTTGGGATACTTGAGGTTGTTGTAGGGGTAGTTATAGATGTTGTTGTACTGGCTGTGGTTGTTGTTGGGGTAGTTGAGGTTGCTGTTGGAGCAGCTGTGGTAGTTGTTGGGGCAGCTGTTGTAGTTGTGGTTGAGGTTGTTGTCACCACAGCTGTAGTAGTTGTTGTTGGGGCTACAGTTGTTGTTGTTGGGGCAGCTGTACTTGTTGTTGTTGGGGCGGCTGTTGTGGTTGTTGTTGGGGCAGCTGTAGTTGTTGTTGTTGGGATGGCTGTTGTGGTTGTTGTTGGGGCAGCTGTAGTTGTTGTTGTTGGGGCAACAGTTGTTGTTGTTGTTGGGGCGATTGTTGTGGTTGTTGTTGGAGCTGCAGTTGTGGTTGTTGGAGCAGGAGTTGTGGTTGTTGTTTGTGCAGCTGTAGTTGTTGTTGTTGTTGGGGCAGCTGTTGTGGTTGTTGTTGGGGCGGCAGTTGTGGTTGTTGTTGGGGCGGCAGTTGTTGTTGTTGTTGGGGCAGCTGTAGTTGTTGTTGGGGCAGCTGTAGTTGTTGTTGTTGGGGCGGTTGTTGTGGTTGTTGTTGGAGCTGCAGTTGTTGTTGTTGGCGCAGCAGTTGTGGTTGTTGTTGGGGCAGCTGTAGTTGTTGTTGTTGGAGCAGCAGTTGTGGTTGTTGTTGGGGCAGCTGTAGTTGTTGTTGGGGCAGCTGTAGTTGTTGTTGTTGGGGCGGTTGTTGTGGTTGTTGTTGGAGCTGCAGTTGTGGTTGTTGGAGCAGCAGTTGTGGTTGTTGTTGGGGCAGCTGTAGTTGTTGTTGTTGGCGCAGCAGTTGTGGTTGTTGTTGGGGCAGCTGTAGTTGTTGTTGTTGGGATGGCTGTTGTGGTTGTTGTTGGGGCAGCTGTAGTTGTTGTTGTTGGGGCAGCAGTTGTTGTTGTTGTTGGGGCAGCTGTAGTTGTTGTTGGGGCAGCTGTAGTTGTTGTTGTTGGGGCGGTTGTTGTGGTTGTTGTTGGAGCTGCAGTTGTGGTTGTTGGAGCAGCAGTTGTGGTTGTTGTTGGGGCAGCTGTACTTGTTGTTGTTGGGGCGGCTGTTGTGGTTGTTGTTGGGCCTGGCGTTGTAGTTGTTGGCGCAGCAGTTGTGGTTGTTGTTGGGGCAGCTGTAGTTGTTGTTGTTGGGGCAACAGTTGTTGTTGTTGTTGGGGCGATTGTTGTGGTTGTTGTTGGAGCTGCAGTTGTGGTTGTTGGAGCAGCAGTTGTGGTTGTTGTTTGTGCAGCTGTAGTTGTTGTTGTTGTTGGGGCAGCTGTTGTGGTTGTTGTTGGGGTGGCAGTTGTGGTTGTTGTTGGGGCGGCAATTGTTGTTGTTGTTGGGGCAGCTGTAGTTGTTGTTGGGGCAGCTGTGGTTGTTGTTGTTGGGGCGGTTGTTGTGGTTGTTGTTGGAGCTGCAGTTGTTGTTGTTGGGGCGGCTGTTGTGGTTGTTGTTGGGGCAGCTGTAGTTGTTGTTGTTGGCACAGCAGTTGTGGTTGTTGTTGGGGCAGCTGTAGTTGTTGTTGTTGGGATGGCTGTTGTGGTTGTTGTTGGGGCAGCTGTAGTTGTTGTTGTTGGGGCAGCAGTTGTTGTTGTTGTTGGGGCAGCTGTAGTTGTTGTTGGGGCAGCTGTGGTTGTTGTTGTTGGGGCGGTTGTTGTGGTTGTTGTTGGAGCTGCAGTTGTGGTTGTTGGAGCAGCAGTTGTGGTTGTTGTTGGGGCAGCTGTACTTGTTGTTGTTGGGGCGGCTGTTGTGGTTGTTGTTGGGCCTGGCGTTGTAGTTGTTGGCGCAGCAGTTGTGGTTGTTGTTGGGGCAGCTGTAGTTGTTCTTGTTGGAGCTGCAGTTGTGGTTGTTGGAGCAGCAGTTGTGGTTGTTGTTGGAGCAGGTGTAGTTGTTGTCGCTGCAGTTGTGGTTGTTGTTGGAGCAGCTGTGGTTGTTGTCGCTGCAACTGTGGTTGTTGTTGGAGCAGCTGTGGTTGTTGTCGCTGCAGTTGTGGTTGTTGTCGCTGCAACTGTGGTTGTTGTTGCTGCAACTGTGGTTGTTGTTGGAGCAGCTGTAGTTGTTGTCGCTGCAACTGTGGTTGTTGTCGCTGCAACTGTGGTTGTTGTTGGAGCAGCTGTGGTTGTTGTTGGAGGAGCTGTGGTTGTTGTTGGAGCAGTTGTAGTTGTTGTCGCTGCAGTTGTGGTTGTTGTCGCTGCAACTGTGGTTGTTGTCGCTGCAACTGTGATTATTGTTGGAGCAGCTGTGGTTGTTGTCGCTGCAACTGTGGTTGTTGTCGCTGCAACTGTGGTTGTTGTTGGGGCAGCTGTAGTTGTTGTCGCTGCAGTTGTGGTTGTTGTTGGAGCAGCTGTGGTTGTTGTCGCTGCAACTGTGGTTGTTGTCGCTGCAACTGTGGTTGTTGTCGCTGCAACTGTGGTTGTTGTTGGAGCAGCTGTGGTTGTTGTCGCTGCAACTGTGGTTGTTGTCGCTGCAACTGTGGTTGTTGTTGGAGCAGCTGTAGTTGTTGTCGCTGCAGTTGTGGTTGTTGTTGGAGCAGCTGTGGTTGTTGTTGGAGCAGCTGTAGTTGTTGTCGCTGCAGTTGTGGTTGTTGTTGGAGCAGCTGTGGTTGTTGTCGCTGCAGTTGTGGTTGTTGTTGGAGCAGCTGTGGTTGTTGTCGCTGCAACTGTGGTTGTTGTTGGAGCAGCTGTGGTTGTTGTCGCTGCAGTTGTGGTTGTTGTCGCTGCAACTGTGGTTGTTGTCGCTGCAACTGTGGTTTTTGTTGGAGCAGCTGTAGTTGTTGTCGCTGCAACTGTGGTTGTTGTCGCTGCAACTGTGGTTGTTGTTGGAGCAGCTGTAGTTGTTGTTGTTGGAACTGCAGTTGTGGTTGTTGGAGCAGCAGTTGTGGTTGTTGTTGGGGCAGATGTAGTTGTTGTCGCTGCAACTGTGGTTGTTGTTGGAGCAGCTGTGGTTGTTGTTGGAGGAGCTGTGGTTGTTGTTGGAGCAGCTGTAGTTGTTATTGGAGCAGTTGTAGTTGTTGTCGCTGCAACTGTGGTTGTTGTTGGAGCAGCTGTAGTTTTTGTCGCTGCAGTTGTGGTTGTTGTTGGAGCAGCTGTGGTTGTTGTCGCTGCAACTGTGGTTGTTGTTGGAGCAGCTGTAGTTGTTGTCGCTGCAGTTGTGGTTGTTGTTGGAGCAGCTGTGGTTGTTGTCGCTGCAACTGTGGTTGTTGTTGGAGCAGCTGTAGTTGTTGTCGCTGCAGTTGTGGTTGTTGTTGGAGCAGCTGTGGTTGTTGTCGCTGCAACTGTGGTTGTTGTTGGAACAGCTGTGGTTGTTGTCGCTGCAACTGTGGTTGTTGTCGCTGCAACTGTGGTTGTTGTTGGAGCAGCTGTGGTTGTTGTTGGAGGAGCTGTGGTTGTTGTTGGAGCAGCTGTAGTTGTTGTTGGAGCAGTTGTAGTTGTTGTCGCTGCAACTGTGGTTGTTGTTGGAGCAGCTGTGGTTGTTGTCGCTGCAACTGTGGTTGTTGTTGGAGCAGCTGTGGTTGTTGTCGCTGCAACTGTGGTTGTTGTCGCTGCAACTGTGGTTGTTGTTGGAGCAGCTGTAGTTGTTGTCGCTGCAGTTGTGGTTGTTGTTGGAGCAGCTGTGGTTGTTGTCGCTGCAGTTGTGGTTGTTGTTGGAGCAGCTGTGGTTGTTGTTGGAGCAGTTGTAGTTGTTGTCGCGGCAGCTGTGGTTGTTGTTGGAGGAGCTGTAGTTGTTGTCGCTGCAGTTGTGGTTGTTGTTGGAGCAGCTGTGGTTGTTGTCGCTGCAACTGTGGTTGTTGTTGGAGCAGCTGTAGTTGTTGTCGCTGCAGTTGTGGTTGTTGTTGGAGCAGCTCTGGTTGTTGTTGCTGCAACTGTGGTTGTTGTTGGAGCAGCTGTGGTTGTTGTTGGAGCAGTTGTAGTTGTTGTCGTGGCAGCTGTGGTTGTTGTTGGAGCAGCAGTTGTGGTTGTTGTTGGGGCAGATGTAGTTGTTGTCGCTGCAACTGTGGTTGTTGTTGGAGCAGCTGTGGTTGTTGTTGGAGGAGCTGTGGTTGTTGTTGGAGCAGCTGTAGTTGTTGTTGGAGCAGTTGTAGTTGTTGTCGCTGCAGCTGTGGTTGTTGTTGGAGGAGCTGTGGTTGTTGTTGGAGCAGCTGTAGTTGTTGTCGCTGCAGTTGTGGTTGTTGTTGGAGCAGCTGTGGTTGTTGTCGCTGCAACTGTGGTTGTTGGAGCAGCTGTGGTTGTTGTCGCTGCATTTGGGGTGGTTGTTGGAACAGCTGTGGTTGTTGTCCCTGCAACTGTGGTTGTTGTTGGAGCAGCTGTGGTTGTTGTCGCTGCAGTTGTGGTTGTTGTTGGAGCAGCTGTGGTTGTTGTCGCTGCAGTTGTGGTTGTTGTTGGAACAGCTGTGGTTGTTGTCGCTGCAACTGTAGTTGTTGTTGGAGCAGCTGTAGTTGTTGTCGCTGCAGTTGTGGTTGTTGTTGGAACAGCTGTGGTTGTTGTCGCTGCAACTGTGGTTGTTGTTGGAGCAGCTGTGGTTGTTGTCGCTGCAGTTGTGGTTGTTGTTGGAGCAGCTGTGGTTGTTGTCCCTGCAACTGTGGTTGTTGTTGGAGCAGCTGTGGTTGTTGTCGCTGCAGTTGTGGTTGTTGTTGGAGCAGCTGTGGTTGTTGTCGCTGCAGTTGTGGTTGTTGTTGGAGCAGCTGTGGTTGTTGTCGCTGCAACTGTGGTTGTTGTTGGATCAGCTGTGGTTGTTGTCGCTGCAACTGTGGTTGTTGTTGGAGCAGCTGTGGTTGTTGTCGCTGCAACTGTGGTTGTTGTCGCTGCAACTGTGGTTGTTGTTGGAACAGCTGTGGTTGTTGTCGCGGAAGTTGTGGTTGTAGTCGCTGCACCTGTGGTTGTTGTCCCTGCAGCTGTGGTTGTTGTCCCTGCAGTTGTGGTTGTTGTCGCGGCAGTTGTGGTTGTTGTCGCTGCACCTGTGGTTGTTGTCGCGGCAGTTGTGGTTGTTGTTGGAGCAGCTGTGGTTGTTGTTGGAGCAGCTGTAGTTGTTGTCGCGGCAGTTGTGGTTGTTGTTGGAACAGCTGTGGTTGTTGTCGCTGCATTTGGGGTGGTTGTTGGAACAGCTGTATTTGTTGTCGCTGCAACTGTGGTTGTTGTTGGAGCAGCTGTGGTTGTTGTCCCTGCAACTGTGGTTGTTGTTGGAACAGCTGTGGTTGTTGTCCGTGCAGCTGTGGTTGTTGTTGGAACAGCTGTAGTTGTTGTTGGAGCAGCTGTGGTTGTTGTCGCTGCAGATGTGGTTGTTGTCGCTGCGTTACAGCAGGCTGTGTAGAGAATCTTACATCATTTTCATATTTCACATTAACCACATCTTTATGAATAGGAAATTCTCTGACAAATTAATTTTTTTCCTACCAACAACAAGAAGAACGATGACAAACATCTTGGCGATCATGGTGATGCTGATTTTCTGCTCCTGTCTCTGAAAATAAAAATTCACTGTGGTTATTATGATTTAAAGAAAGCATTATTCCTACAATTGCCTTAATTAAGCTTTCTAAAGTTATCTTGAAAAGAAGTTTGAGATCTAAAACTCATAATATAAAAAAGTTCCTATTCAATTACATAATTTAAAATATAGATTTTTTTTCTATAGTACTGTCTTTGTGATAGTCCACATCTCTCAACGAGGTGCTTGTACACGCAAAAGCAACAAGAAGAAATTAAGAAATCATGAAGGAAAGGCTCTGACTATCATGACCTCATTGTTCCTGACTGTAAATCAGAGCAAAAGTCACCACTTCATGTTTATAGTGTTAATCAACTCCAATATTGACATATAATCACTCACCCATTAAATCTATCTATCTATCTATCTATCTATCTATCTATCTATCTATCTATCTACCTACCTGTGTGTGTGTGTGAATGTGT